AATGAATGTCAGTTTTCTCTGGATGTACAACGAACATTCGAACCAGAGCTTCGAACATGAGACCTGCACCAGAAACATTTTTTCGAACCAACTTCAATAAACACTTAGGGAACATGAGGATTCCTCCGTCGCCTCCCAGACCGGGAAACAAAGAAGTAGAAACTGGTTGTTTCACTCACCTTGTAATTTAACAGCAAAGTTTATCTTTCATTTTCATGACTTTTAGTGTTTTCACTGAAAACCCTGACCCTAATAACAACATTAATGATTTAGGAAAGTGAGGATAATAATAATGTTTACAGCTGTGCGGGGGGAGGAGGGGGAGGAGGGGGAGTTTCTGCCAAAAATGTGTTTGCAGCCCGAGTTGTGGACCAATTGCGACGCCATGATGTCACCACATCATACACAATATACATTACATTATACACCATACACATTATAAACCCTGGTGGGCCACATAAAATTATACTGCGAGCCACACTTGGCCCACGGGCCTTGAGTTTGAAACATGTTTTTTAAAAAATATATAAATATATAAATCTAAGCTCTTTACAATAAGACTAAAATAAGGTTAAAATTCCGACTTGAGTTCCTTATTTGATAGGAATACAGTATATATTCCAGTACTACTGCAGTACTATAAATACTTCAGACAATACATAATCAGACAAACTGTTATCGAGTTCTAAGGTAAATGCTTTGTCGTCGTTTGTTTCTAAGAGTCCGGCCCGTCAGTTTGAATGTTTGGTACGAGAGAAGTCTGCTAGCTATGTAGCAACGCTAGCTATGTAGCAACGTTTGGCAGCTACTGTATGTAGCAGCGATGATGCTTTACTGTTTCATTTTAGACGAAACAGTTCCAGGGAGAGTTTTTTGGGGCGCAGTAACAGACTTTGTTAATGTAATATTTGTTTTTTATAATTCTTCTAATTGAATTTAAAAAAAGGTTAAACACAGAAACAGGAACCTGATGGTCGTCTCTGTCATGTTAGCATCGCGGTATCTAAACATAACAGTTAAACTAGGAAATTTATTTATGTAGTAAAGTTATAAATATATACTCCATTTTTGTCCTAAAATGAAACAGACAAAAAAATGTATGAATTACTGAAGTAAATTTCAATTCTTATTTCATTTTCACTTCCTCCAAATAATATGAATATTTTTCCAAGTAAGTAAATGCTACTTACATAAAGATTTTATTTTCGACCACCCGACACTTTAGCCCGAGCGAGTGACAACATTTTTAAATTTTCCTCACCAGTGTTTGTGGGAATATTGACGCTGACACGTTTATTTCCTTTAAAAATAAAGATATTTTAGTTTAACTCAAAGAATTATTTGTTTCCATCCTAATATTGTTTTATTACTGATTGCTTTGGATCAGGGTGTTTGTTTGAATGTTGCGTTGCTGCCAGCAGCAGCGTAATGGCCGCCTGTTTTCCAAGGCCTGGATCCGTGCACAGTCCCCCCGATCTTGGCCAGTCTTCCCCGGTCGTAATTAAAGCTGGAGCTGCAACTCCAAAAATGTTTGCCGTTTCTGCTCTTTATTTTTTTTATTTTTTTTTTACTTCCGAAGTTTTTCTCATTTTGTCATGACTCTCTCAAAGTCGTAATTACTTCACATTCTTTCCAAATGTGTTGAATGTGAGGCAATTAATTTTAATAACGTGCGAGGGAAGTGTACGACAGCAATTATTTTGACAAAGTGTTCGCGATGCCGTATGCAGCGACCTTACAGCAGTGAAACACTGAACCTGGTGTGAAACATCAGCTCCCATCCTGGGCGAGTCATCGACCGCCGCTCGTGGATTTATTCTCCTGCCCTGCTCTGTTTCATCCCATTTTGTTTATTTGAAGAATGTAGTTTCACACATTACCACACTCTCCCGCTGCAACATAATGTCATTGGAATCTGTGGCCCAGTCGAGCCACTGCTTTATCCCCACACTTGAGGTTGAACAGACTCCGGTCGGGACCGTGGCGCCCGGCCAGCCAGTACTTCAGCTAGACGATGTTTTTAACTCCTTGCCAAACAGAGCTCCGGCGATTCCAATTTTATCCCCTGATGGAAATTTTGGTTCTCCAAACGAGTTCAACAAATCCACAATCACATGTCTTTTAACGCGTACTTTACATTTTCCAGTTAAAAATAAACACTTGAGTGAAAAGGTTGCTCCAAACCACGGGTGTCAAATTCACGTTCAACAGGGGGCGACATCAGCAATAGGCCGGTCGTAAATGGAAGACTTTATCAATGTAACTACTCAACTACACATCGCTCTGTGTATTGAAAGAAACTTTTATTTATCAGGTTAGGAAACTGAGCAACATGGATTTTATCTTTAGACAATTCAATGTTTTCTTAAGCACCCGCGGGCCACACAAAAGGTCTTGGTGGGCCGCATTTGGCCCACGGGCCTTGACTTAGACACACTCTCCAAAAGCAGGTGATCGCGGTGATTGTTCGGTATTGGTTGAAGTCTCTGCTGTATGGAGACGGTGCGTAACGCAGTGTTTCTTCAGTGACTCCATGATCTGAAGGACAGGACATAAACCAGTGCTTCGTTTGGCCCCGTGAGTAGGAATATGTCTGTGGGGGTCAAACGCCTGACACACGTCGTGAGTTTTGGCCTCATGTCACCGAGGGCGCCACTGTGCTTTCAATCAAGCCTTGAAAAAACTTAAAACCCGGCAGGAGTCTGAGTAGAACCACATTAACAGGAAGCTCCGAGCAGGTACACCACTGTTAGCGCCCGGTTAGGGGCCTTTGGCGCCCCCGGCTGCCAAGAGCTGCGGCGGTGTTCCTCTCTGCGATCGGACTGCGTCCACCGCATCTGTGTCAATAGCATTCCACGGTGCTGTTGACGGAGCGCCGCTGTTTGCTTTTGCCACCACAGACCAGTGGCCTGATTTACTGTTTGAAGCCGGTGTCATAAATCCTCGGGTGCCGTCGACCACATACATTTGTGTCACAAGATCGAGAGCTTGTTGACTTTGAATAGTGTGCCACAGGACCCACAGCAGTCCAAGAATCTGGGCTGTGATTGGGACGGGGAGGGGGCGCTCGGTGGACGAGGAGCACCGGCGGAGCGACAGGCACTTTTTGTCCGTGACCACGAGATGACCTCGGGGGTTTTGTATTCGCAGACTATTGATAAATATTTTGCACACATTCGTCTTTCCAGCCTTCTTTACGTTCGCCTTGTTTTTCGTAAACCCCGCCGTCGTTTCCTTTGATGAAGTTTCAGCTATTTGTTTTACGAACCACATTTTCCCATTTGCTCATATTTTACGACCTCTTGTTTTTCCTTACCTTTTAAAGCCGACTCTGTTACAATGAAAGCGCAGGCCACATTTTAGCAAAGCTACTTTTTTTTTCAGGAAATCACTCACGTACTGTATAGTATTACCAGCAGCACTAAAGTGAGCCTGAAGTCTCGGCCTCACAGTGAAAAATTGGATCAGGATTTAATGTAAATGATCATATACTTAGGACTAAACAGGGCAGTTAAAGACTCAGTAGAAATTAAACATGACAACCCCTGCAGGCTGTCTGCTAAATGGAAATGAGGAAAGTGGTGCAGCAGAGAAAGTGAAGGCCTTTTGATTGAATCACGGTGAAATGAACCTCAGTCCTGGGATCAGGGTAAGACATGAACAAGCAGTAGCAGGAAAACTCTTCTGCACCTTCATATGTTCAAGCGGGGGTTC